TGTGCAAAACAGAAACTCTGAAAAGCAGCGTCATTTCAGTTTATATTTTTATATTTTATATTTTTTTATTTTTATTTTTTTATTTTTTTTAAATAACATGTTAATATTGAAAGTCCTTTTCCTGATCTACTATTCGCTAGGCATTTTTGTAGTTGGTATTCCGGGAGCCCAGCACAGAAATGAAGTTTCGCCAATTTCTATTCATCGCAGACACTACTTTGTTTTTACAGTGTTCTTAATTGGCTAAGCTCACCCTTCAAAGGTGGTATTGGCGTGGGTTGTCCACTGTGACCCCAAGCCTTTGCCACATCGCCTCCACATTCATGTCCTCTTGGCCACTGGGCTTTCGGTCAGTGCCATCAAACCTAAGAAGAAAAGAAAAGGAAAGGAAAGAAAAGAAAACGTACTCAAATTTTTTGTTGATCCATGGTTCATTGTCACCTTCAGCAGTGTTAGGGTTTCGGAAAATAACATTATATTGCTAATTTGTTGTGTCAGCATTGTACCGCAGTCCTTATCATAACCATGGAGCTTGCATACCATTCCCAGCGTCAAATGAATTGCTCCAGGGCCCTTGACAAATGTATCTGACGCAGCTTTGCCTTCTATCATGGCCTGAATGTTCTTCGCGACAACTGCCGCTTGTGCAGAGCCTGGACGGGCAGCTTTCTGTGCCCCAGTGTCGGCGATATCGCCAACTGCAAACATGTTGGGATAGTTTTCATCCATGAATTGCATGGTTGGTCGAATACGAATGAAACCGTTGTCTGGATTGACCACAGAGTTGGTAGTCGACGTAGAGGGGGTTAAATCAGCAACCATCTGATTGTTCGGTGTTTGGCCAGTCGCAAGAATAACAAAATCGGTGGACTCAGTCGTGCCGTTTGTGAGTTGCACTTGAAACGGCCCGCCATTACCAGGGAAACCTTCGGAGGGGATGATTACCCGAGACCCAGTGATAAGCCTAACCCCGAGCTCGTCGAATCGCTCTTTGATGAGTTCATGCAATTGGTGATGGAAATTGGGCATTAAGCGAGGCCTTGACTGCACCACTGTGACTTCTTTATCGGGGTAATACTCCTTGAGATCGGCTGCCATCTGCACACCCACAGCACCACCACCAACAATCATAATCGATTGGGACCTCTGGACCTTGGCTTGATGTTGTTGGAGATAATCGACTGATGATATCTTGTCGTCGGCCTTCATACCTGCCGGCTGGGCAAGCCGCGTCCCGGTTGCAAGAACAATGTAGTCAAATGCAATCTCTTTTGAACCCCGCCATTCACGGTCTAGCTCCACATGCTGCGGTTTAACAGACAAGACGCGAGCTTGAACCACACTGTGGGCCGCTGGATTAGGCACAGCGGAAAAGATTCCGCTGTATGGAATAAAAGCCTTGTGCTCTTGGCCAGGCACAATTGCAAATCGAGGCTATACAACATTGTTAGTCTGCTTTTACGAAGGTAAAGTCTCCATGGCCGACTGCTCACAAAGGTGAAAAGGTGGTGAAAGTGACTATGGGGCTCGGCTAGAAGCACCTGCGCATGTTCTCAGCATTAAACACATATGTCGTATGGAGGGCCAGTCACTTACCCTGTGCGTCGGAGGGATAACTCGAGCCAGCTCCTGCGCGGTAGTCTACCAATTCATCAGAAATTACGCTGGGAACATCATTGAAGCTAAGTCTCACCCGACCAACAAAGGAACCCCCCACCACGATAATGTTCCGCAAAGAGTTGCTTGCCATTTTGTGGGATGCGAGACTGGAAGGTATGAATGAAGAATCCTTTTAAATGACGAGCGCTTCCCTTATATAACTAGCCCGGCAAACGGCGTTCCCGAGGACGCGGTTATCTGATTTGACTTATCTGATTAACTCCGAGATTCTGCCATATTGAGCCAAATGCCGAGACTCCGGAGAAGGTCACTGCCGGCGCCAAACAGAATGACGTCGCTGCTTGGCCACTCCTAATGACCTCGCAGAATCAGCTATGAGTAGCAAACCCCTCCGCTAATTGCTGCTCCTTCAACCCTGATTCTTCATCGAATTGCCGCGTTTCTTACGTAACCGCTCTTCTCGATTTGCGGCATACTCCTTTACAGTCACCCTTGCCTGGGCGAAGTACTGGGTACCTAGTCCAGTTACGCCAATAGGGCCCTCTCTATACCATAAACGCCTTAAACCCGCTTCATGCGCAACGACTGCTACAGTTGGTTGCTTATGTTCTGAGACAATCCGGGATGGCCATGGTAGTGGGCCCGATCTCGGCAGTTGCAAATATAGAGATGCCGTGAATTTATTTGGGCCCGAGGCATCGTTTTAGCCTGTTTATCGTTTCGCAAGCTTCCGCTACTACTACTACTACTACTACTACTACTACTATTACTACTAATGGGAACCTCAAATAGTTATCTGAAAAGGAGTTATATTATTTCTGCGACTGACGCCAGTGACAAAATCTCGACTGTTGCGCTGGCTTTTTAAAGAAACTGTTTCTAATTATTATTTAGTGAAAAACATATTCAAGTATGCATCATACGCTCGATTTCCAGGTCGGAGAGCAGAGGGTGATCGACTGGGACACGAAAGCACATATTGCGGTCAATTTTTAGCATCCGCCTCAACTTTGTAAGATTGTCCCTTTCGGTGTAGATGGCCATCAGAGCACAAACAAGATTCCTCTTCCCAACGAATACCCTAATTTACTGTGGATGCCAACTAATGGTTTTGGCATGGGGTCCGCCTCGGTCATAAGTGGCCAGCACCGTATGGTGATCGAGGGCCATCACGCCCGGCCAGAAACTAGACGCCGGAGAAATGAGCTGTGGCCGACTCCACTGAATGTGACCATCTTGTGGTGGACAGGCAAACACAACTTTGATGGCCGCATTCTTTGTCCACTCCACTTTGGGGGAGTCCTCGTCCGTCATAAACACCACTGCCATGGAACCGTCTGCGAAGGACGCGACCTGGGGAGATCCTGCATTGTGTCCTCGTGGAGGGCAGAAGACCTCATGGCGACGGTGCCAGCTTGCCCCGTCATCGTAGGAGATGAGGGCCTCAACATTGAAAGAGCCGTACCGTGTCGTTTCAAACACCATGACTAGTGCTTCGCGGCCGTTGTCGATGGTGGGAGCAATCCCGTTCATCCCATCCCGCAGCCGATCTCGCTCACCATGCAGGCAAATCGGTCTAGTCCAGGTGCTCCCCTGATCATGAGAGACGACGAGCATAGTGCATTGATTGTCGGGCGCAAACTCTTGGGAGTACGTGAGCTGAACCTCACCCCGACGTCCAAGTCGCATGAACGGCTCCCAGATCCCCAATGGCGCTTGCTTCTCGGCAGCTTGCGATGCAAACCCCCAGGTGCGACCTCCATCCGTAGATCGGCAGACGGTGATGCGGAAGTGCGTGGGACCGCCGGGCCCCAGGTCATGATTCCGAAAAGCCGCCAGTACTGTGCCAGGGCTGACCTCCAGCAGGAACATGTTATCCACATCGCCCACGGACCGTGTCACTTCCGCAAAGTCCTCAAATGTGCGACCGCCATCAGTACTTCTTGCCACGCGTAGGGCATGTTGGTGGTTCGGAAAGCGCGTGAAGGACGACAAGATCGACCCGTCAGAGAGCTTGGCCAGGCGGGGATAGGTGCCGTTGTTGGGCGGTGACGACAGCCCACGCTCGTCGTCGTTGACAACGCGTCGGCCCGGAAGCTGCTGATCGGGCGAGGCCTGGTGGTGGTCACCCAAGCCAAAACTCTTGAGGACTTTCTGGCCAAAATGTCCAGGCATGATTGTTATACGAGACGTGTCGAGAGACAAGTACTCCCTTTCCCAGGCGGTAACATTTCGAAAGAATAATGAATCATGCAAGGGGACCGAGACATCATATCCTACCACAATGATGTCATCGGGACTATACACAAGTCAGATCAAAGGAAAACAAACAGATCGCTATACACTAGTGATATAGGGAGTCTTTACGCACTAGGCATTAGGAATATGAAATAAAGCTACACTAGTTTTAGAAAATATAATCAAAGAGGCAAATACGTGGGTTGAAACTATAAGGCGGTTATTGATCGGTTATGAATCGATGATGAGTTGGAGACCGTACGCAACACTAATGCCACAGCTGGGTTCTTGAGTCACAGTAGATTCTTTGTTGTCACATATTCCCTTCTTCTCCTCACACCTCATATACATGGTACTTCTATTCTTTTTTCCCCTTAGTTTTATTGAACCATCTGCCTGCTTAATATGGCAAATAGGCGTCTCAATGCGACCACCACAGTGGCTTCCCAGCTGGAGCAGAAACATCATGACCAGTAATCAGACAACCCAAAGCGATCCCTCAGTGCCAAACACTCTTCAAAGGGGCAACGTGTACATTAGCATCTAAAGAGAGAGAATTGAGAGAAATTTCAATTGGGCGACCCTTTGTATTTCTGTATAGAGTTCCGTCGATTACATTCGTTCTTATATATTGACGTCCTTTTGGGATCTCATGGGCTCTGTTATTTATTACATCCAATCATTTGGACTTGAACAAATCACAGTAATAGAGCAGCACTTCCAAGCTATCGAGCGTAGACTGGAATCTCTAGGGGGTATTCGATCGTATTCGAACAGATTTACAGCCCTCACACAAGTTCCTGGCGTAGTGAGCAAGGGACGCTGCCCGCAAACCCTGTGCTGTGTATGTCGAGGCTTTCTGATCAGTCTGATGAATTTGATAGGATGGGATCAGTTGTACCTCGGGATAGTGCAGAGGAAGAGGAATACTTTAATATGAGTTGCACTACCTGGGCGAACAGAGTTGTTGGCGGTTCGACAAACGAGTTAATTAGCCACATCTAACTCGTTAATGTGATTTTCTTGCGCTCAATCCTACAGGCAACTGTTTACTCAAAGAAACGGATAGGAGTGCGAGTTCTCAACAAAACTAGTATATATACCGGAATAGATGCTTACAGACACAAGTATAGGAGAACAAGCTATGATGAAACCCAAGCTGCATCACGCAAAGCAGCATCGCATGCTCTAGTCACTCCTAAAATATATTCCTCGTTCAACCGCCGACCGACAAGCTGTACAGCCACGGGGCATCCAATCATATGCTCGGGCGAATCTACTTCTCGTCAACTCTTGGAACGAATTCAAGATAGATTCACATACAGTTCTCCCAAACCTGAGCCTCTAGCTCGTTTCGTCCCTTGTATTCTGGCCTTAAATCCTCGACCGACGAGACCTTAGTTACTGGTAGCGTGGTCGCGCAGTAGTCTAGAACGTTCCAAAGGCTAGTATAGTTGTCGTAGATGAATCCATGCCTACAAGCGTCAGTAAGGTTTCCACTATAAAACCTGGAAAGCCTACTTCGGAGACGCCGGCCACGGGCTACATGGCATCAGCAAAGCATCCATCTCCCTGCCTGTCTCGGTCCTTATTTTAGTAGCTGCCCATGACTGCAAGATACCTTTGGCAAATTTGGTCCGCTGTGTCTGTGCTTTCCAGAGGTCGGATACCGTGGCAGGATCATTTGCGGATAATTCGCCATTACTGGAATGGCCGAGCATATCGGCGAGCAACTCGTAACCCCGAGGCCATGGTTCATTCGTTTTTCTTAGGGTTCCACCGATCAACTCGGCGGTAGCAGAGCGATACAAGACATGCTTTAGAGTGTCGAGGAACAGCGGCTCCTCACTGAGTTCATCAATTCTGTGAATTGTTTGAATGTCGCGTAGAAGGTGAAGATTGATGACTTACATCCGGAACTCAATAACTGTATGTCCCGCAGCCTCAAGGGCTGCTTTTGTTAGAAGTAACCCTCGGGTGACAGGGGGCAGAGGTTTGACAATCCCATCATCGAGCAGAAGGCCTGGATTGGTCAGAAGTTAGACAAAATCACCAAAACAGCACTCACCGAAGCATAGCTTCTTTGGAACCTGAACGTCGCGCCACGGGATGGGCAGACAATCCGGGTCGCCATTCATCCACGGTTCGCTTTTCAAAACAGCCTTGCTCCAGATCTCAACTCCATCCAATGACTTGGCCATAGGACCAATTGCATTTCGTACTGCCTCCTGGCCCTTAAGACCGTCTTGGATGCCGTACGTAGGGAAGCGACCAAAAGATGGCTTCAGCGAGTACAAGCCACAAAATGAGGCCGGTATACCTGGACATATCAGCAGGGACTCTTTCCCCTATATATGCAAAAGCTTACGGACAGACCCGCCAACATCCGTACCAACACCCAGAGGAGCTCCTTTCAGCGCAAGCAACGCACTCTCACCACCCGACGAACCACCGCTGGACATGTTTCTATTATAGGGGTTGGAGGTATAGCCATAAATAGCATTATGTGTCTAACTTTCCGTCAATCGCACGCCGAGCTTCCAGCTTTCACTTCACTCACCTCACCCGACATGAGGGCAATTGGGACATTTGTCTTGCAGTACAAGACAGCACCGCTGTCTCGCAGGATCTTTGTGACCTCTGATTCATCTTCTTCTGCTGTCGGCTGATTCGCAAAAGCGGTATAGCCAATCGTTGCGTCGGTGCCCTCAACTTTGAAACAGTCTTTCAGTGAGATGGGGAGACCATGGAGAGGGCCGCTTGGGATCCCGGATGCCGCATATTCAGTGTCTAGGTGTTCAGCAGCTTCAAGCGCGCGGTCGAAGAATATTTCGCTGAGGCAGTTGACCTGGTAGAGATATGAGTCTCGGTGCAGTTAGTTTCAGTTGACTGGGACGTACAAGCTGTTGCGCGACAGCTGCTCGTTTGCAGAAGGCTAGTGTGACCTAACGACTGAAATCAGGACAGCATTCTATTGCACCAAGGGCTAGGCCGCCTACTTCGTGTGAGCTGTAGTCTCGATTGACAAGCTTCTGCACCAAGACGGTCGCGTCTGTTTCCGTAATTTCTACTTCCTTATCTGTCAAGATACCGCAGTCTGCAGGAACTCCAGTGACATCTAGCTGATCATCTGGGATTTGGTCAGGTCGCAGTTGCCATACCGAGGGAATTGCTGCATCGCGAGCTGCTCGCTTGGACTGTGCAATTGTGTCCCATAAAGGAAAGTGGTCAGATGGAGCACTGCTATGCGGGGACATTCTGGCAATGCTAAGGGGAGACGGTGGTGACAAGATATCTAGGCGCAAAACGTTCCCAGGGGCCATTGACCAACGGATGATGTCTTATCTTGCTTCCGACCATGCCAGGACTCGGTCAGAGCCGATAACCGCGGAACTGGGCCCACTGTGTATCCTGGTCCGCTGGTCGGCTCCGCCGATCGCGTTCGGGTTTCCCGATGGGTCACCCGGGCTGATAGACAATCTGGGGGGAGGTGTTTATCGCGTGGGAGAATGGGGAACCGGAGCTAGGGACGTGTGGTCATGGGGATGATCCTTTGGGCACGCGGAGACATGACTTATTTGAGTGCATCCTGCTCCCTTTCAATTCGATCTGGATTATATCATCAACCGGAGCCATGTCAACACAACACGACCACATTCAGGACTCGAATAGTTCCAAATTCGAGACCGAACACCCCGATAAGGACGCTTCGAGCCAGGGTAATCCTGAGCCCGAGGAGAAAGGCCATGTCTCTGCTGCCGATATCCTGAGCGGCAATGCTACTCACGAGCTCACTCATTTCGAGGCCAAGGCCGCCCTTATTAACGCGTGAGACTCTAAATCCTGAGCCCTAGTGGAAAGTTGAGTTGTTAATGCCCAAAATAATTAGTGAAATCGACAAGTTCGGATTTGGCAAGTATCAGAAATGTATCTGGCTGCTCTGCGGCTTCGGTTACTTCCTCGACTTGGCCTGGGCACAAGGTGTGGGTCTCATGGCAACAGCCGTGTTGTGAGTCTGCTTATACGTCAATGAAACAACTAGTCTCTAACGTCTTTGCAGCCAGGAAATGGGTGTTCCTGCTGACAAGCAAGGTCTAATTTTCACCTGCTCCAACGCCGGTCTTGCGTGAGTGGCTACTTCCTTCGACGGATCTTGACCCCCCGGGACTGAAATTGCAAAGTATCGGTGCCTTCTCCATTGGCATCATCACAGATATAATCGGCCGTAAATGGGCCTTCGAGCTTACATGTCTCATCACCTCGATCTTCGGCATGCTCCTGGCGGTGAGCAAATTCAACTACGGGGCGATTTGTGGCATCTATTTCCTCTCGTGTATTGGCCTCGGCGGCAACATCCCCATCGATGCGACAATTGCCCTTGAGTTTCTGCCCCAGAATCGTCGATACCTTGTGTCCTTACTGGGCATGTGGCAGCCAATCGGCGTGACGATTGCCTCCGCCATCGCTTATGGCACCGCTGCCAGATATCGCTGCAGCGTCAAACTCCCTGCTTGCAATAATGTCGAAGCTGGAGAAGCCTGTTGCACTGTCTCGAGCAACATGGGCTGGAGATATATGGTCATTATCATTGGTTGCATGACTCTCGCCATCTTCTTCGCTCGTTATGCCCTATTCCCCTTCTACGAGTCGCCTAAGTGGCTCCTAAGCAAACGTCGCGAGCAGGATGCCATCGATGTTCTCCGCAAGATCGCTAAATTCAATGGCGCTGAGGATCCCACGCTCACGGTCGAACATTTTCGCGAAGTTGACCTTCGCTACGACGTTGAAAACACTGAACAGGCCGGAAGCAGGGACGCGAAGACTTATATCTTGAACATGTTTAAGAGCCTGGATTTCCTGAAAGATCTCTTTACGAAGAAGCTGGAGTGTTTTAGTTTCATTCTTCTTGCACTAGGTTACATGGTAAGAGGCTTAAACTGGGCAGCGTATCATCATGTGCTGACAGTTATAGGGCAATTACTGGTCGTTTAACTTGGCTGGCTATTTCTTGCCCATTGTTCTCCTTAGTAACAATGTGGACAGTGGAGCTGACAATGTCTCCGACACTTACAGGGAATACGTCTACATCTACCTCCCCGGCGTGATCGGAGCTATTGTTGCTCTTCTTTCAGTGCAAATGCCCCTCTTGGGCCGCAAGTGGTCGCTCGTCATTTCGGCCGCACTACAGGGTCTCTCCATGGCCATGTATACGCAAGTTAAAAATACTGCCGGATATGTAGGCCTCAATGCTCTCGAATACATCATGCAAAGTGTAAGTCTTGTTATGCAGAGTTCAATTGAGTCACGTACTGACCCAAGCTAGTATTTCAACGCGGTTCTGTACGCCTCAGCGCCTGAGATGTTCGATACAGCCTACCGCGCCAGCGCAAGTGGCATGTTGTCCAGTCTGGGCCGTGTTGCTGGTATCGTGGCTCCCTTTGCCGGTCAGAAGTACATCGCCCAGGGCCGGGCCGGTGTCCTCTGGCTCGGAGCCGGGGGAATTTGGCTGGCGGCTTTCTTTCTGTGTTTCCTTCCAATTGAGATGAGGAACCGACAGATGTACTGAATGCACATTATTTACTTATTCTGTAATGAAATACGACAGCCATAGATGTTGTATAGCCTGGCACGCATAAAAATCAGCCTCCCAAACTGACGACGTACCATCTGTCATGAGTCTGACTTACAGCACTCTAATCTCCATTTGACGCACGCTGTTTTTACTAGAGATTGTTGAATTGGCCTCTGTTTACCGCTACGATGGATGCTGCAGAGCGCATTGACTCACCTGGGCGAAGCAGCCCGTTTGAAACCTCTGCACCAAGTCCATAGGTCTGAACATGGTTTTGCGGTCAACTGGCATATTGTCAAGCATTTTAGCGGGAGTTGCTTTCTAAGTGTGCACACATGTACTTAATTACTTAATTCCTTAGCATAGCATATTCTCTCACGGACCCAGTCGACGTAGTCTCTTTGCAGCCCATACATCCTCCGTCCACTTCCACCCTCATAAATTGGCCCCTTTCGGTTATAGGCAGGTGGAGTGCGGGCCAAGACGCCAGTGCGGGGGCGTACGCCGATGCCGTGATAAAGCGCTGGTGGTAACGACGTGTGCTCTGGCCTTCGGCTTTGCCGATACTGCTATCACCGTCTCAGTTAGTATAGACTGTGGAAAGGATACGCTATTGGAGCCGAGACTCCGCAATTTGGAGATGCTTCGTATGTATGGTCCCAGATCCACATCGGAATAGCAGTAGGAGCTGGGGGCTTCAACAACGTCCGCCCTAGGCCGTCCCTTCCCCTCATCAACCCTTCTATTAAAATTGCTATCGCCCATTCTCTGGAAACCCGTCATCTTTTCCTCATTCACCAATGGCAATCATGCCCCCAACTATGACCGACCTCCCCATGAGAAACGGCGTCGACCCCGTCAAGGGTATCAAAGCTACCTCCAATGATGGCAGCACGGCCGGGGGTGCCCTGCAAGTCGAGCGTCATGACTATATCGACATGGCTCCGACAGATCGCGAACGCTCGCACTCTATGGAGGGGTTCGACGATATCTATACTGACATTGTCGACTACATCGTGCGCTGCACGCACCGAATCTGGGATGAGCGAGACATTGGCTTAATTTATACCCACTATACCCACAACTGTGTTCTCTATGGCACCATGGGCACCATCTACGACCGCGAGTCCATCGTGCGGGATACCATCCAGCGCCTTGTCACCTTCCCCGAGCGCCGTGGCATGGCTACCCAAGTTCTATGGAACGGTGACGATAAGAAGGGCTTCTACACTTCCCACTTGGTTACTGGCACCGGCCGGCACACCCAGTACGGCCATTTTGGCCCTGCCACCGGCAAGGTCTTTGTGTCGCGCACCATTGCCGACTGCATGATCTACCAGAACCGTATCTACCGCGAGTGGGTCGTCGCCGATAACATGGCGATCGTCAAACAGCTGGGTCTAGACCCCAACACTCTCGCGTACGATGCTGCCAAGGCCCTTTTCGACAAGGGAGTTGAGGCTATCGACATTGGCGAGAACCGCCGCCTTATCGGCCAGCAAAATCCGCAATGGGAGGCGGATACCGCCATTGCAAACAATGACCTCGAGGCCGAGACCCTCGTGTGGCTGCATACCATGTGGAACTGTCGCATGTTCAGTCGCGTCGAGAAGCACTACGCCCCCAACTGCCAGTACCACGGTCCCAAGATGGCTGAGCTGTACGGCCCTTCTGCGGTCCTGCACCAGCACCTGGGCCTGCTTGGCTCCATTCCCGACGCTGCCTACATGCCCCAGCACATCCTTTCCACGCCTTGTGAGGAGGGTGGCGTCAAGGTTGCTGTCCGCTGGGTGATGGAGGGTCACCACCTCGGATACGGGCTACTAAGCGAGCTGGGGAAGCCCACTGGGATCCGCCTCCAAATTATGGGCATGACGCATTACCACTACAAGAACGGCAAGATTGTTGACGAGTGGAATATATATGATGAGCTCTCTATTCTCATGCAGATGAAGCTTGGCAAGCTGGTTGAGGAGGCTAAGAAAAATCAGAAGTAAGGCGCGAATTGCGTGCTGAAATATGAATGATGGTGCTCCTGTTGTTGCTCATCAAATTTGGCGCCGCTTGTTCAGAATACGCTCCCTGTTTGTCTTTCGTAGCGGTAACACGGAGATATTTTTCAGCAGCAGACTCAACATTTCATGATTGTGACCATAATCGAATGGGATCTTGATCCTATGGAGAGGACTATCATACGTGTATTATATCGTATTAGTACATGTCATCTAGCAGACTCGGCCAGGCCGTAGCCTCCAGACCAGCCTGTTGCCACATTTCCCACAGGTCTTCTCCCAGGTTGTTCTGTATCGAATCTGGTAAATGACTAACGTCTGTGGACATACCACCTGGGTCGGCATTTGCAGCGTGCATATGTGCGTTTCCAGACAGAATTATGTTCGCCATCCCTCGGAGCAGGGCAAAATAACGGCGTGCCAGATGCCCTTCAGGGGGACTTGCTGCTTCCAGGGTGCGGGTAGCCACATCTACTAGACGGAATAGGAGGGAGCTGGAGGCTTCGTCGCTGAGAGCTTCCACTGGTTGCTGGATATGTGGGCGGAGATTCACTGTCTTCAGTTAGTCTTTTGCAAAATCAAAGTGTAGACGAACTGACAGTCTGCAAGATTACTCAGCCAGCTGTTGACCAGGAAGAAGGCGGCATAGGAGATAACAACATAGTAATGGTCAATGGCAAAGGACATAATGTCAACCATGCTAGGATCAGGCTCTAGCTGAGCAGGGATGATAGACTTGTTCAGTACTCCTGTTGAAGGTGGATGTGACGTGTGTAAAAGGATTTGGCTCGCCCACTCGATTGCCCAGGTCAATACTTTCCCCGTACGCTGGGTGGGATCGCTGACATCTAGGAACGCACACGCATAGGATAGTCTATACCATCGGAGAGATGTGAAGGGGAAGTGTTTGCTCAGAGCGTCCATTGATCGGTCGCCCAGACTAGATGTAAAATGGTCTTCGATGAGCTCCACATCTTTGTTGAATGCCTCGACGCTCTCGACGGTTATTGGGCGACAGCCACTGAAGTGGGCACTATAGGCCACCCGGAACAGAGATGCTAAGCGTAAATCTGTGGTTTGGACATATTGGCATCGGAGAAAGTTGTTGAGCACGCTGTGAAGAGGTTTGGGGTCAAGGTAGGATGGGCGTCGAGCGGATAATGCAAGGCTCAAGGGAGTCAGCTTTGAAGGCAGAGTACTCGGTCTGGGATACTGACTAGTGGTCACTTTCCACAAGATAAAGCATGGTGCGGAACCGTCGTGCATCTGCGCGCGTTGCCGTCTCAGGGTGCTTAAAACTCTTATAGCATCTGTGGTTTAGAACCAGGGAACCCGCCCATCGGATTGCTAGACCAAGACACTGCCATGCTCCCGCTTCGGAAAATCGAGATTGATAATGTTGACTGTCCGCTGAGATATCAAAGGGCATCCAATGTGCACACAACATAAGGGCCTGAATTGTTTCGAGTCTTTGGTCGTCGTTCCGAGGGCGAAGCGTGACTCTCATGACTTCTGCATCCAGTAATCGAACAAGCTCCGGATATCTGTGGTGAAGCCAGCATGGACTTCTATACGGAGTTAGACAGGGATGGAGACTGTAAAATGGAAAGTCCAGACCTTGACGAAGCGCCCCAGAAGCGAGCGCCAATACAAAGAATAGCAAGGAAAAGTAAAACACTCCTCTGCCGGACATTATCAACATCCGAGTCCAACCCTGTGTCGAGGAAAGGGGCATTTGGGTGCGGGTGAGAGAAATAACTGTAAAAATTAGCCGTATTCTTTAAAGTGTCAGCTATGATGCTCACAGTCGGAACATCACATGTGCCTCTCCTTCCGTCAGAATTGTTCGCGCAATTGGGTCGTGTAGTTCAAAATCGACGGGGTCCTCTGACTGAACGCTGTTAAGAGCTTTCAGGGGCCCGTCAGTCATGGTAGCGCCTTGAGAACTGGATAAACTTGGGGCATCGGGGTTTTGAGTTGATCTCAAACTGCGAGCAAAGGTCAGATAATGTCTCCCGAAAAGGCACCGGATGAAAGAAAGCCCACGAGATAACAGGCGGTGATGAATAGCCCTGTAGAGAGGGAATAGGTTCAAATGGGATCCCTAGGGAGGTCGCGGAGCGGGATTGTGGCGTGTTCATGTAGCCGGCTGAATCCGACGAAGTTGTGACAAACCATTTCTCCAGCTCGGCAATCCTAGATCCATAGTTTAATAGGCTGTGACAACCCAAGATAGAAGGTACTAACCTTGCTTTGAGTAGCTCAATTTGCTTCGGTAACTCCTCATCAGTCGACGAAGTCCTGATTTCCCGGGATGGTACAGCCAACAGCGACCGCGGCGCATTCCCTCTATCGAGGACCGTCAAACCGGAAGACTGGGCAGCCGAAGAAGAGGGCAAAACGGTGCTTTCGTTTGCCCGCGTATCGATGCCTATTGAAGGCGACCGAGATCCTCGTAGACAAAGATACGGATTGTGTCGAGGATCCTTGACTTCTTCCTCAAAACTGCATTTGACCTTTCTAGTGGTACACGGCCGACATTTGATGCTTCGTGTAAAGCCTCCGCATTTCTGCTTCCTACCCTCGAAGTTAAGGCGAATTCAGAGTGTCAGTAGGTGAGACGCACCTGTGTCGGCATTGCACACAGGCATGACCTGTCCGGCCCACCGGCAACTGTCCTACACTTTGCGAGGTTGGCCACATCGGCAGCGACACCCGGCCGTAAACAGATGTACAATGTGAGAGACAATCGGCCGCGACTCCTCGATTGTAAATTCTCACGATGATCAGACAAAACCAATGCAATTTCCGGGTGAGCTTTAGCCGCAATTACGAGAGTAACCCACTACAAGATTTCTAGGACAGAGAAAGTCCGCCTCCGTCTCCGATCTCTGTGCGGGGAAAGCGGAACGAAGCGCTCTAGTGGGTCGCCCTTCACCGACCATGGAACGCGGTTATCATGATGTTTCACCGCAATGATAACAAGGTCCCATTGGAGATTTGTCCGCTTCCTCACCCAATAATCACCATTTGTTTCTGAGAAGTCCTATAGGACGAGCGTGTCTCCCCTCATCATTTCAAATGCTTTTGTTTGATCAACTGGATTCGTGGTCTTCACAGCTTGAGTTTCTGTCGTTCAGATTTGGGTCAAAATAACCGCTAGACCAAAAAAGCACCATGTGCCTTAGTCTATACGGTCATTTCCCATCTCGACAGGTTCGTATACTGTGAGCGTTATCTGAATTGAAAATTGACTTTAAGATTGATCAACTTAATTGTGATCTACTTTCCATTGTCCTATAGGTACTCAAAAGAATATTAATTTGTTTGCAAGCTCAACCAACGATCCCAACCTCAGTCGCCTTCACCTCGCTTTGAACCTTCCCTACGTCAATTTCAGGTCTGGACTTGACAAAAGGCTGGCTTGTCTTCACAATTGCAGCTTTTAGACGGGACACAATTTCCTCAAGCTCGCTGTCCGTTACGATGTAAGGCGGGCAAACAATGACATGGTCAACCTGGTATTCACCAGTATGGCCAAGATTTCCGAGTATGTTCAATCCCATCTCCAAACTGTGTTTCACAACCTGGTTGCAGAAATTGAATCTTGGCGAGAACACTGTCTTTGTGTCTTTCTCAACGACGAACTCCACGGCCCAAAACAAGCCCCGCCCACGAATATCACCAACCAGTGGCAGAGGGAAAAGCTCCCTCCGCAACAGCGTCTCGAGTTTCTTTCCCATCTGCGCAGTCCGCTCAATCAAGTTGTCACGCTTAATGATCTTTTGAGCTGCAATCGCGGCAGCACAAGCAAGGGGGTGAGCCTAATGCGACATAATTAGCCACCACGGCCAACTAGAGGATCGGTGAACTACCTGGAAGGTATGACCATGTGCCAGTCCACCAGAGCCAGCAGATAAGGCGTCAAATATCTTCTGGTGCAACAATACAGCGGAGAGAGGGACGTAACCTGCTCCAAGGGCCTTGCCAATGGTCTGAATATCTGGTCCACGAATACCCTCCTGCTCCCATGCATGCATGGTGCCTGTCTTGCCCATACCGCATATAATCTGTGCATTAATTTAACTAACGGGTCAGTGAATTTGCTTGCGAATGCTTACCTCGTCCAAGATCAATAGAACGCCATACTTATCGCAGATGGCCCTGATGAGTCTGAAATATCCCGGTACAGCGGGCAAGCAGCCCAGCGTGGTCCCGCTAACGGTTTCAGCGACAAAGCCAGCAACACGATCTGGGCCAACGCGCAAAATTTCATCCTCAAACTGGCCAGCAAGGCGTTGGGCAAAATTCTCGTCCGACTCGCTCTTACCCTTCATTCGGTAGGCGTAACATGGATCCAAAAAGGACACATTGGAAGACATGAAGTCTTTGTAAAACTCTCGGCGAGACTCATGGCCGGACACGCAAAGTGCGCCGATAGTATTGCCGTGATAGCTTTGTTTTCGTGCAATAAAGTGTGTCCGTTGAGGTTGTCCTCGCTCATGCCAGTACTGCACAGCTAGTTTGAGAGCTGCGTCCGTCGCTTCGCTACCAGAGTTGACGAATATGGCCTTTGATAAACCACCGGGTTTGTGTGACAATAGGATGTCCGCTAGTTCCTCCGTCGCGGCGTTGGTATACGGAGAACCCGAATAGACATAGGCGATGTTATTCTTGAGATGATTCGTGATGGCATCCGTGATCTCTGGTTGGGAGTGACCAAGGCATGATACTGATGGGCCGCAGCTTGCATCGATGACTTTCTTGCCACTCTCTAAGACGAGACTAATGCCGTCCCCTGAGACAATTTTGGCGGGTCTGTCGGAAAACGAGCGATGGAGAATGTGAGAACGAGAAACGAACTCGTCGGGGGTCATTTCGACGGCAAAAGAAGCTGGTGAGGTGGAGTAGCAAGCCCAGAGAAGACTTGTCTTGCTGCGAAGACCGCAGGTGATCTTATATTATGAACGCCTGGTATGGACTCCAAGAACGCACAGACGATATAGCACCCGTCGCCTTTGAAGCCGAGTGGGTTGATCACTTTATCGGGGTTGCCGTTCCCCGCACGACCGAGTCGGTTCGTGTCAAGTCAAGTTGGAGATATTCTGAACCCTGAAAAGGCCGCGGTGGACCCATCCAAGATAGGTCCATCGGGTTCCCCGCCTGTGACGCCGGGGAAGCCGATGCGCGAGCCCCACATATTAAAGTCTGCCTCCGACTTATTTGTTACATGAGGTTAGCTACTTACTGCAGACGCCTCTATCCTTCTAATTCCGAAGAAATTCTCAGAGCAGGTAAGCTAACCATGAATTGAGCCCAGAAATTGCCGTTCCAACACTGAACATGTTTAGACGCTGCACGCACGATGGACAAAGGCGATCATTCCACTGCTCCATACCGAGGCCCCAAACTCCCCAATGTGCCCGAAGACCTCGTGGTTCCCGGAGTCCTAGATCTAGATTGCGACGAGCGTCTCTGGGTCCCCCAAGCCAAAGATGTCTGGTTTCGGCCGCTTTGCTTCAATGTGTCTCACGGCTACTTTGTCAACATCCTTCGCGTGAGAAAGAGTGGCATTCTGTCACGCCATAGACACACTGGTCCGGTACATGCAACAGTTCTGAGAGGTCGTTGGCACTACCTTGAGCACGATTGGTGGGCTGAGGAAGGTGGATACGCCTTCGAACCTCCGGGCGACATTCACACTCTTGAAGTCCCGGACGGAGTGATGGAGATGGTGACTTTGTTCCATGTGACAGGCGCATATATCTATGTGGATGTTGATGGTCTTTCTCTAGGCATCGAGGATGTCTTCAGCAAGCTACAGGCGGCGAGGAAGCATTACGAGGAGGTGGGACTGGGTGCTAACTTTGCGGACCAGTTCGTGAGGTAAAAGATAACCAAGCCTAAGGAGAGGATCAATGTACATTTCAGCCCAAAGGGAAGAACAAATATCAAACTATAGGAGGATCAATATACATGGCCCGTAATCTTGACAGGAGAAGATTGATGATGCCCTCTTGCTGCACACCGTCCAGCCAGTGAACCCGCAAAGAGGCATCTACCTCCTTCCTCGCAGCCCTCAAGTGCCATAGTTTCTGTGGAACAAACAAGGCGATTTTAACATTGCGACACCCACGCGACACCCACGCGAGTCACTCGTAACCTGTGCCCATTTAAGTAGACTAAGTAGATTTTAACTATCTATAAGCCTTAGATGACGTTTTCTAACTTCCTTTCAAATACTAAGTATCACTTGGTATTAGTTGTGCCGGTTAGCGGGGCGCCCCCATTGGACCGGCCGCCAGCCGCGCCCTATACTATAAAATAACGATACAGGAATATTTCTATTCCGGAGCTATTCTCGACTCGGATTGGTAAGTATAGAGAAACAATTTAAACGTGGTGACACTAGTTTCGAGAAGTAATGTAATATCTAGACTGTAATGCTATTGTTTTCGAAGCTATTCACGTCTCCGCGTCGTTTAACCCAAAGGCCGGTGTCACGTACGGACCGCCGGGCTAGGGCAGAAGAGCCTCCACGAATGAGCGAAGCAATAATCGATTGAGAGACCTTGGACTGAAAAAGCCCCATGGTGGAAGCTTCTCTGGCATCAAACAAACTCATATGCGAGGGAGGAGTGACGATACACCTATGCTTCCCGTTGGGGCCAGCGATCAAGAATTTTCGACAAGGGGTGGTACGATCTCTCCCTGGCCTCGCTGGCGAATTACTAAGTGAAGATAGAAGACTAGCCTCACGCGTGCGGCCACTAACTTCGGCTTTCGCTGCCACATATCCGGCTTTTTTTAGATCGGGCGAAAGTCCGCTATCCCTATTTATGTTTGTCAGAATCATTGTCGACATGGAGAGTGATTATATTCTGTAGCAGCCCAAAGCTTGAAGGCCACTCTTTGGATCTTTTACTAGACCGCCGTATTAGCAGACATAAGAACCTTGGAAGACTTAGTTCTGCTATTGAGTTTTATTCCTCCCCCTCTAACCCCTCTCAATCTCCTCTATAACTCGATCATAGGCGCCCGATTTTCCTACACTAGTATACGCCCTATACGAATAACCTATAGCCTGGCTCCTCTTGCTACTAAGACAAGCCGAGAGTAGGCTCTCTTGACGCTCGGCCGATTTTACTATTTCGATATACTCTCCTTACTCCCTCTAGGTTTCTCGTACTTCCCTATCTAACGGCTGCCTATCTTAGCCGTGATACTGAGGTAGGTCAAAGGAGACGGGCATGGCTATAAGGAAGTCGGAGAATGCGATAAGCTCCTAGGGAACCGTCTATACTCCTTCCTAGTCGATGATTCTAGTTACATCGAAGCTATTCTCATCCACTATGATATTACTATGAAGAAAGTTATTATAGTCTAGAGGGAATGGCCCTTCGTTGCATAAGGATAGCCGGCTAGCTATCGCTTTGATCTACGATAGGACGCTCTTAATAATACCGATTATCCGTTCCGCCGGAATCGGACCTCTCTATATCATATATGTTACTATTTCTTTATCCCGCTTAAACTTTACGCTATCGGCCTACGCCTCAAAGAATACATTTGCTATATTAAACGGACCCCTAATTCCTAGTAAGGGACTATACTCGTATCTACCCTAACGGTTCTAGATAATCGTTCTAATTTTTAGGGGGTCGTAATAAAGTCAACTAAACCTATATAGTAAGGGGTAAGGTGAGTATCTAAGTACTAGAGCGAGCCTATAGGCTAGGATAGGGGACGAACATAAGACTATGCGACGGTGCGGTAGAAGTTTTGTCGGTACTCTCTAGGTATTACACCCTAATAGGCCTTACGGCGACTAAGGGCGTCTATAGCGATAATGCTAGGGAGTAGCTCTATTAGTATGAACGCGGCCCGCACCGGATTGCTCTTGTTAACTTCATACGTAAAAACTCGAGGCACTAGTAGGTCGTAATGCTCCTTAATGAATTGCATTATAGCAACTTCGGGTTTTAAGCTTTATGCTACTAACAAAAGGGGAGGTACTCCTTCTAATATGAACCCAGGCCGCCTAGCGAGTCTAGTCGGAAAATTCTAGCAACCGGAGAATATTGTTAAGCCCGCTCGTAACTTGGTCTAAGGCTATGCACTCTAAATGGCTAGCAAGACCTAAAGCAATCCGACATAGCTCATGCCATTAAGTTCGATAAAAACAATCGGCAGTTTGGTTATCACTATCATGTAGGAAACCCTAGACGGTACTTTAAGAGGTTGACTCAGTAGACATAACGACGGACTATTAAACAGAAGACAATCGATGTACTAGAGGTAGGTATCAAAATATACTTGGCCTTAAGTGGAGTAAGAGTGGAATCCAGTGGGATGTGATTTTCTTAAAATTTTACAGAAAGGGAGGGGGAAGGAAAGAGGGGATAAAGGCAACTAGAAAGAGAACTCGCGATGTGATTCATCGGCAGGTACCTACTTGTTACGTGTATACTGTATGACTATCCACGGGGTAAAATGACCTGCTAGCTATCTATCTTCTATTATGCTCATGTGTCGAAGACATCATCTCCCTCCGCCAGTGCACCGGTTCATCACTTCACCATGAGATTACCAGACTACTGCATGCGCGGCTGTACGTTGTGGGAGTTTTTTTTTTTAGGGTCATTCATTCTAGATTCTTCGCGCGACAAAAATATGTCACAAACCCAACAGACGCCTGACGATCTTATTTAATGGCTTCGATAATTCCTTCACCACTGACGGGGGGTTGGTGAAAGACAATGTTCGTCAACCCAACTGATCCAAGGAGGTCTCGCCACTGCTTCTGGGAGCGCTCAAAGGCGGCAACTTGTACCATCATCATGATGCTCATGCAAGCCGAGGGCAGGTCACAATCGGTGTCGGGGAGAACCTGTTCATGAATGATCAATCTGGAGTATCCAGGTTCCATGGCATCCACAAGATGGGACAGAATGGACCGGCACTGCTCATCCGACCAGTCGTGGAGAATCCAGTGCATAAAATATGTCCGGGCACCTGTGAGCAATGATCAGTCTATGTACGCTCATTCGAAATGGAGGATCCTGACCCTTGACTGGCTGGGCGGTGAAGAAATTGTGGGTTCTCAGCTCAACGCCGACGGGGGGAACCTCAATGGTCGAGATGACCTGCGGCAGATCCTGGAGAATCAACCGCCCAGGGGCAGTGGGGAATTTCTCCTTGAAATGTCGCGCATAATGGCCCTCGCCGCCGCCGACGTCGACGAGGAGGACGTTGTCGGAAGATGCAGCATTGAAGCCCTCGATGACGTGCTGCTGGATGTCGAACCAGTCGACCCAGTTGGGAGTGGCTTTCTGCTTTAATGTCATCCACTGCTGGAAGTCCCTGGCCAGATCGGGATTGTGCCCGAGCCACTCGAAGTAGCTGAGTTCAGTAGTGAAGCCCAGTTGGAACGGGGTGTCTTTAGCAGAAGATGGGAACTGATTGTTATTCTGGCGGAAGAATTCTGGCGCCTTGGCGGTACAAAGATTTCCGATGTCGAAGCTGTTGCTTCTTCAGTATGGATTAACCATAGACTGAGCGGCCTTGATCAACCTACCAAGCTCGTGTCGTTGCTTCGATGGTGGAATCTGCCATGACCGTGGTCAGAGCGGAAGGAATAAATGTCTGTGCATCCTGTTGTTTGATATATCCTACAGCGGAAAGGAGCCGGATGATCTGGTCTTCAAGGAGGCTTTGTGTTAGCACGGAGTGGGTTCATTTTGCGCTGCTTGAGATACGTCGGGAGTCTGAGACAGTGATTGATTGATGCTTGTCCTCCAGTAGGACACACTCTCCGTCTATCCATTCTTCCGCCAGTGTGGACACTATAGCAGGGATCTTAACCCTATCAGAGGGAACTCACCAACAAGAATGGGGCTGGATCCTGATATCTCGGCAATCGTTTGCGAAGTCACCCCTTCTGGGCTCCGGCTAACCTGAGCGAATATACCTAGCTGGACACCCATGCGAATGGCCATGAGAATGGGAGGGTTCTACCAACTTAGCCTTCTGTTTGGAGGTAATTCCGGGACCCATTGCACTGTCACCGGATGTCGAGAGACGTACCATGACCACATCCTGAAGGACCCGTTCAATTGGCGACTGCAAGGCTGCCAACAACCCCTGAGTAGCAGCCAATGCCTCGAGACGCGTTTTCTCATCGAGAGCATGCCCCGGTAGGCCGCCAGCCAAAGCGGAGATTTGCGCTGGAAGAGAGGCGTCCTTGTCTCGAGTCATCGTGACGGTGCTTGGGTCGCGGATTCGACCGTCTAGGATGCGAACAAAGAATACCCAGTGCCCGGGCGTCACGGCCTTCACTTCAATAATATGGAAGACCTTTCGGTCTTCTAGGCAAAGAGACGCGGGGTGGCTGCAGCGGAAACCCCGAGCACATTATGTTGGCCCCACTGGAGACCGTGGAAAGAGGGGCCAGTTTGGTTTGATTGGCCCACTTACGATACCCATCCGAGGCGCCGGGCCTGCTAGCGAGGTCTTTTGGCCCGAAGGCAAGTCGTTCAGGATTCGATTTCGTATGTGGTTAGCGCACATTCACAAGCAGAGTTTTTGGTTCTCATTCCCAAACCCGCCCTAGGAATTATGGGGCGACGGGCAGCATATGCGGCCATTCTTCAACTAGGAGCCGGTGCGCCCTGTCAAATGTGCCGTCGATTTGTGGGGCGGGTGTGCGATGTAGATCCACCGATCGGGTCGCAGGGCTGCAACGGCGACGAAGGAGTCATTGCCTACAACTTACAGCGCGTAGCATACGGATGTCAAAGTGTATTGTCGCCGAGATTCTGGGATTGGCAAGTCAGGTAGTCGATCGAGATCCAATCTTCCGTGCGACTAGATCGTTTCCCTGGGATTTCATAGGATGGAAGGACGTAGATCTGGACCGAGAACTGCGTCCACCTGCTCAGCCGGTTCGGTTGACCCATCAGCGATGTGGTTGATGATCGTCGTCGATTTCATCTGGTGTGTATCGACTCCGTCAACAGTGTGGTCTCATCGTGGCGCCCCATTACGTTGTTCCCTTCCTGGGATCCGGTGGGGCGATCGGTTCATCCAGCGATAAAGGGGGCCACTTTTCACCCCAGGCGGATCTGCTCCACACCGATGGTCAATCACTTGGGAACGCTCAGCGCCCATTTTGCATTCGCAACGTCAACTTGAAGTCCGGCGAGCGCGATAATGAATGGAAGCAATTCGGTAGCATTCTGCGGCCAGCAATTGGTTGGCGTGTCAATTGCAATCGCCGTCGTCCAGATTCTGATTGTCGCCCTCCGCTTCTACACGCGGCACATGCAGCGCCTGAGATACGGCGCCGATGACTACTTGATCATCCCGGCACTGGTAAGGATGACTATGAATGGGCGCAGACGGAGAGGAGCAGAAGAGAAACTCACGTCAAAACAGTTGGCCAGCTTAGGACAATCCGCGCTCTATACGTACCGTATGCCGAAACCGCACTCTCTCTTCTGACTCACGGATTCACAAGTACTGACAGAGTGAATAGTGGTCAAACGTGGCGCAATCGGGTATCATCTCAAATACGTCGAGAGAAATCCCGAGAGAATGGTCATCCTCGGGAAGGTCTGTCGCATTGTCTGTGCTTGGGGCGGATTGGAAAGTTCTGACCCGTCGTCTCCAGGGCCTCTATGCCAATGAAATCCTCGATTTTCCTTTCACCGTGACTCCGGCCAAGATTTCCATTCTACTCTTCTACATCCGTATCTTCGACGTTCCCAGGTTCCGCATCCTAGCCTCGATTGTTGGGGCGATCGTGCTTTGCCACGGAATTGGGGTCTTGTTCGCGGCGATATTCCAGTGCAAGCCCATCGCATACACGTGGGACATGGCAATACCTGGAGGATCTTGCTTCGATCAAGAGGCCTTCTATCGCTACGTCTCTCCACCTAACATCTTAACCGATATTTTGATTTTGATCATGCCGCTGCCTTACGTGTGGAAGCTGCACACCCGAATAGGACAGAAGATGGCGCTCACTGGTGTCTTCCTGCTGGGCAGTCTGTAAGTGATTCACTCTGTGGCACGATGACGATAATGATGATGATGCCATGGGGAATCTAATATAGTCGCTAGGGGCACCGTGGCGAGTGTTCTTCGTATGACCATCTTCTTCCAGGAAAGCGCGATGACAGACCCGACCTGTATGTTTAACATCCATTAGAACGCAGACGGGTAGGCAACTCTAACACGCTACAGGGACATCTGTCAAGCTTGGCATCTGGACCATTCTGGAAGGCGGGGTCATCATTATTGCTGCCTGTCTCCCTGCCATCTGGCCCCTGTTTTCCAAGATGGTGCCCCGGAGACTACTCACCAACTCGTCGTCGAAACAGCTGCCACGGCATCAATACAACGCGACACCACGCACCCCGAAAGGGAGCAGCGGCTTTTCACGACTCGGGGATAGTACGGAAGGCTCCAAATGGCCCTTAAATCAGAGGTTGTCTCACGAGGTCGATTCCGATCGGCACACAGAAGAGATTTCGCTGGATGGAGTGTCGCGAGTCCACGAAGCATGATTCACCTTAACGTATAACGTATTCGGTAAGCGAGTGGGTCAGGCCAAAACACCATAGTAAATGCGATATTTCACATCTCAATATCTCAACAACAATAACATAATATATATATAGAGCGTGGCTTAGTCCTAGGAGAAGCTTAGCATAGTAATATACGATATAGCCGGCTAGCCTACCCCATGGGGGTGATTAATACGGGCCCCAGTAGAATCAGGGTTTATTTCTTAATTATAGGTGAAAAAAGTGGGTCCGACCCCAGTTGAATCATCTACTAACCCAGGGTAGAATCAGTGATACTCGTCTAATAGACATAATATTACAGAATATTGTAGAAGAGGAACTTATCTATATACAGTTCTTTTTTCAGAACATTTCAGTTTGTTTTAGAAGTAGTTACAGGGATCTAAACGAGTCAAGTTATTTTGATAGGGTACGCTAGGGTCGCGCCCGCCCAGCATTAGTATACAATCACATCAACTTCTCACGTTCAGAATTCGCTAGGAGTAGGTAAGATTTTCAGGGGGCTTTTCAGGGGTTTAGATATACTGATAAGTTTCATTTAATCGCAGTCATAGCAGTTTTAGATCTCAGCTCAATTCAACCACAGCCAGCCAGATATACAATAGTCCAACTTATATATTTACATAGGCTCCATGGCCACTATCCCCCCCGCCGACCGGTTTTTCATCCGAACCACAGGGTTTCCAGTCATCATATGCCGTCGATGCGAATATGCTGTGCGTCCAAAGCAGGTGATCACTCATTTAACTAGTACATAGCATCGAATTCCCGTCGCTATTGCCCGCTAGGTCGCGAAGGCCGTCGAAGAATGGGATGACATCCATAAGAATCCCCACGAGCTTTGGTATCCCACATAGATCAGTAAGCTAATTAAGGGATTACACATTTATCGCGATGGTCTTTTATGCAAGAGAGGCACCTATGGCTATATATGTCGCAGTATGCTAAGCTTAAAGAAGCACTAGCGCAGTAAGCATCATTAGTCTACACACGATCGTATTAGTCAACCGCGCCCATTCGAGTTCATAGCTAGCCAGGAAGCCATAAATATGGCTACAGAGCGTGTTATATGCCAGCGATTATTCACCTAGGGCTTTGGATCGCATTATATTCACGTCCGCGAGCCCGGCCCAGATTATGAACCAGCGCCGTCACCGCTACGAGCCGAATTGGTCGATGAGCTAATCTAGCAGCTTAAACAGACATACGTCGATTCGCAGGCAAGCGACGACCATACGATCCAGGCGGGCCATCTCGATAAGGCGAACGCATGGCTACGACGGACGCAGTGGGCCACGTATTTGCAAGGTGCGTACTAATCTATGCATCGATCTATGTATCGATAGTTTACTCGTCATAGAGAGACCCGGCCCTAGCGCACCTACTTTAGAACCTAGGTTTTAAGGGGAGAGCTTAAAACCCAGGTTCTAAGGTAGGGGGGCGCATCCAGCTTCGGTAGTTGATGGATGTTGACTCACTCGTCTAGTAGGCATTTCACCCCGCGACATACTAAAATCCGTCGAACCGCCCGACGATAACGCCTAGGGCCCAGCAGGGGCTATGCGCGCTATCTAGGAAGCTATGGACGGTATGGCGCGGATTAGCTAGCGCATCACTAAGCAGACCGGCCATTTGATCCGTATCGAGGCGGCGCGTACGGAGAAAGACCGGAGCCCGTACCAGCCGTTGCAGGCGTATATAGATAAGGAGAAGATCTAGCGCCACGTCGAACCATAGCAGCAGGTGTTAATGTTTTTCGCCCGGACCCAGGTCGACCACGACTAGCAGAGCCCCCGGTATCGATTCACGCCCCGGCAGCGACGGGCATAGCAGGCATTGTAGCGATATGCTTAGGACACGCGTGGCAGTCCGGATCCCATAGACATAGAGACCTAGGGTGATCCCATAGACGGCAAGTATTAGATGACTACGATCCAGGCGGCATACATAGATTTTTGCATTAAACTATTGAACCAGCGCATTAGCGTAGAGGAGTACAAGTACGCGTTGGTATACGCATTAGCTATACTTAGTCGGGGCCGCGATCGATAGCGGGACGCTAAGAGTTATCCCCCGATTTTGTCTAAGATAATCAAGATCAGTCGGTTTATGATTTTGCACAAAGCGTTGCGATTAGACCCGCATGCAGAGCAGATTTTGGAGTATATGCGTGACCGCCATAAAGTTAGGGCGTGGTCGATCGAGAGCCCCATAGAGGATGCTGAATATACGTACGCCGGCCAAGACGAGGGGTATAAGAGTGATAGCCCACGTAGGACGCCAACGCCAGCTAGTAGTCTAGCTAGCAGCGCAGCGAGTAGTCTAGGGTTTGAACCCATCCATCGCCCACCCGAACCTATGCAATTCAGCCAGCAGCAGCGACGAAAGGTGCGGCCGTTCCGGGAGTGGTTACGATTACTAACCGACACATTCATAGTCCGCGGTACGCATAGTCCAATGCAGTGGATGCTCGATTTGCACACATACGGTTTACGCATCCATTACAGTAGCACGGCCGCTAGCCACGTGAGCTAGTTAGGTAAGGACGAGTTACTATACAAGGAAGTCCATTTTACGATAGGCGATTTCTAGGGCTTTGTCCATAGGCTCGTTAGCTCCATACGCCAGTTAATACACTAGGAGCTATTGATATGCGAGGCCGCTAGCGCACCTACGATCCTATGGGACTAGGTCATAGACGACCCCACGCAGCCCAAGCCCGGGTGGTGTTTTTTAGACGACAGTCGCACACAGTGGCCCATCCAGGGATCACAGTGGCTAATAGGACGGATCCAGAGCGAGCCACGATTACAGCAGCGGTTCGTCGAGGCCGGTAAGCGTCGATTCCGCATGCGGGCCATCGAGCGATACATGCAGAGCGTAGTTCAGTTCCAGGAGAAGCTCAGCGTACTAGTCCATGTTACCGCCGGCCAGCCCGGACGCGCACCAGAGTTGTTGAGTATCCGCCATCGCAACACCGATAGGGGGCACCGCAATATATTCGTGGAAGATGGGCTCATCGTATTCGCCACCAAGTACCACAAGGGGTTTTACGCGAGCAACGACGCTAAGATCATCCATCGATATTTGCTGCGCGCTGTTGGGGAGCTCGTGGTGTGGTATTTGTGGTTAGTATTACCATTCGTCGAACGATTGCAGGCGTGGCAGCAGCATGTGCAGGGCATCAGTCGCGAGACCATCCAGGCCATCCAATCCCGCGGATCATACATCTACCCCATGGGGGTGATTGAAACGTACTACGGCGGAATCAGGGCTTTGGTCTTCACTATAGGAGGGAAAAGTGGGGCCATGAGTACGGCGGAATCGTCTTTAGGGGTTTTTCAAAAGTAAAGCGCAATCACGATTACGAGGTAGATGAAACCCAAAATTTAGTATGTTATAGAGGGACAATTAATTCTACACGATTTCAATTTTGGACTAAAACCCGGATCTAAATAGGTGGTTACAGGGATGTGAAGTGATCAAGTTATTTTGATAGGGTACGCTCAACGTAGCGCCCCGACTAGCATCACTATACAACAGCAGCGATTCATCGCCTTTAGAATTAGTCAGAAGCAGCTACAATTTTCAGGGGGGGATCCAGGGGCTCATATTAGATTACGATCTCAATTTCATTGCGATCGCAGTAGTTTACGTTGTCAACTACTACTAGTGTACATCGTACGATCTAAGAGATATATATTCCACTTTTACAATGACGACTATTCGCACCGCCGACCAGCTATTTATCCGTGCAACGCAGTTTCCTATTATTATATGCCGTCAATGCGAGCATGCCGTACGTCCAAAACAGGTACTTTACCATTTGACCCATAGTCAGCATCGAATCGCTATTATAGCCGCTCGCGACGTCGCCCAAGCGATTAAGGGTTGGGACGACATCGAAGAGGATCCTGATGCGCTTTGCTATCCCACCTAGATCAATCAGCCCATCGAGGGCTTACGTACCTATGACGACGGTATTTCGTGCACACGAGGGCAATGTGGCTATGTATGTCGCAATATGAAGAGCTTAAAGAAGCACTGGCGTAGTGAGCATGATTAGTCCGCATACAGCCATATTGGGCAACCAAGCCCATCCGAACTCCAAGCGGGCCAGGAAGCTATCGCTACAGCTAGCGAGCGCGTCGTATGCCAGCGACTATTTGCCCGCGGGTTTGGCTCGCACTATATGTATGTCCGCCAGCCCGGGCCAGAGCATAAACTAGCGCCGCCGCCGCCACGCGCCAAATTGGTCGACGAGCTTATACAGCAGCTCGAACAGACATACGTGGAGTCGCAGGCGAGCGACGACCATACGATCCAGGCGGGCCATCTCGACGAGGCGAACCCGTGGCTACGACGGACGCAGTGGGCCACGTATTTACAAGGTGCGTACTAATCTATACATCGATAGTTTACTCGTCATAGAGAGACCCGGCCCCAGCGCACCCACTTTAGAACCCAGGTTTTAAGGGGAGAGCTTAAAACCCAGGTTCTAAGGTAGGGGGGCGCATCTAGCTTCGGTAGTTGATAGATGTTGACTCACTCGTCTAGTAGGCATTTCACCCCGCGACATACTACAATCCGTCGAACCGCCCAACTATGACGCCTAGGGGCCGGAAGGGGCTATGCGCGCCATCTAGGAAGCCATAGACGGTATAGCGCGGATCAGCCAGCGCATCACTAAGCAGACCAGCCATTTGATCCGTATCGAGGCGGCGCGTACGGAGAAAGACCGGAGCCTATACTAGCCGTTGTAGGCGTATATAGATGAGGAGAAGATCTAGCGCCACGTCGAACCATAGTAGCAGGTATTAATGTTTTTCGCCCAGACCTAGGTCGACCACGACTAGCAGAGCCCCTAGTATCGATTCACGCCCCGGCAGCGACGGGCATAGCAGGCATTATGGCGATATGCTCAGGACACGCGTGGCAGTCCGGATCCTATAGACACGGAGACCCAGGGTGATCCCATAGACGACAAGTATCAGATGACTACGATCTAGGCGGCATGCATAGATTTTTGCATTAAACTATTAAACTAGCGCATTAGCGTAGAGGAGTACGAGTGCGCGTTAGTATGCGCATTAGCCGTGCTTAGTCAGGGCCGCGATCGATAGCGGGACGCTAAGAGTTATCCCCCGATTTTGTCTAAGATGATTAAGATCAGTCGGTTTATGATTTTGCATAAAGCGTTGCGATTAGACCCGTATACAGAGCAGATTTTGGAGTATATGCGTGACCGCCATAAAGTTAGGGCGTGGTCGATCGAGAGCCCCATAGAGGATGCTAAATATACGTACGCCGGCCAAGACGAGGGGTATAAGAGTGATAGCCCACGTAGGACGCCAACGCCAGCTAGTAGTCTAGCTAGCAGCGCAGCGAGTAGTCTAGGGTTTGAACCCATCCATCGCCCACCCGAACCTATGCAATTCAGCTAGTAGTAGCGACGAAAGGTGCAGCCGTTCCGGGAGTGGTTACGATTATTGACCGATACATTCATAGTCCGCGGTACGCATAGTCCAATGCAGTAGATGCTCGATTTGCGTATATACGGTTTACGCATCCATTATAGTAGCACGGCCGCTAGCCATGTGAGCTAGTTAGGTGAGGACGAGTTACTATACAAGGAAGTTCATTTTACGATAGGCGATTTCTAGGGCTTTGTCTATGGGCTAGTTAGCTCTATACGCTAGTTAATGCACTAGAAGCTATTAATGTACGAGGCCGCTAGCGCACCTACGATCCTATAGGACTAGGTCATAGACGACCCCACGCAGCCCAAGCCCGGGTAGTGTTTTTTGGACGACAGTCGCACATAGTGGCCCGTCTAGGGATCATAGTGGCTGATAGGACAGATCCAGAGCGAGCCACGATTATAGTAGCGGTTCGTCGAGGCTGGGGAGCGTCGATTCCGCATGCGGGCCATCGAGCGATATATGCAGAGCGTAGTTCAGTTCCGGGAGAAGCTTAGCGTACTAGTCCATGTTACCGCCGGCCAGCCCGGACGCGCACTAGAGTTGTTAAGTATCCGCTATCGCAACACCGATAGGGGGCACCGCAATATATTCGTAGAAGATGGGCTCATCGTATTCGCCACCAAGTACCACAAGGGGTTTTACGCGAGCAACGACGCTAAGATCATCCATCGATATTTGCCGCGCGCTGTTGGGGAGCTCGTGGTGTGGTATTTGTGGTTAGTATTACTATTCGTCGAACGATTGCAGGCGTGGCAGCAGCATGTGCAGGGCATCAGTCGCGAGACCATCCAGGCCATCCAATCCCGCGGATCATACATCTGGGGCCCCGACCCACACAATGGACGCGAGTAGACGTCAGAACGATTCTGGCAGGCATTAAAACGGGAGACGGCCATCGGCTTAAACGGGTATACATTGAACTTGCCCGCGTACCGGAATATCGCCATTGGGATTAGCCGTCGGTATTTACGGCTATCAACTGCATTCCCTAATAACGTACAGGATGACTAGGGTGCGGAAGGGCTAGCTAGGGACGAAGACTATGAATAGGGGATGGAACACGACCAGTTCATGGGCCATATTGCGGATTTATAGGCGGCGCATTCATCGCATATGGCGGGGATGATTTACGGCCGTGAGATCATAGAGCAGGCTAGGACGACGGCGTACCGACGGGAGATGTTTCGATTGTCTAGCACGGATTGGCATCGGTTTTTGGGGTTCGAGAGCGCTAAGGATGCATTAGGGCGGGTGCTTAGGAAGCGTAAGGCTGGGCCGTAGGAGAGCGAGGCAGATGAGCGGCGGCGGCAGCGGCATTAGTAGCTCTAGCAGACGAACATGACGGAGGCGTTGTAGCGGATGACCAACGACGACTAGTGCTAGTTCCGTGGGGTGCAAGCGCTAGCGATCCAGGCGATCTAGCACGGTATCAGCCCCGTGGTTGCCGTTATGCCCACCGGCGGAGGGAAGAGCATGTTATTCATATTACCCGCGTACATCGGTGGCGGCGTGACGGTGGTCGTCGTACCGCTCATCGCATTACGCGGCGATTTATAGCGACGGTACGTCTAGGCGGGCATTTCGTGCGTCGAATAGGAGAGCTAGCGGCCCCCTGACGAAGCGGCCATCGTATTAGTAACGCCCGAGTCCGCGTTGAGTGAGGATTTCATCACGTTTTTGAATCGACAGTAGGTATGTCCCATCACTATGAAGGAGAGATCCGCCCCCCGCGCGCCCTATATTATAACCTAGGTTTTAAGAGGGCAGCTTAAAACCCAGGTTATAAGGCAGGGCGCATACGACGAGCCACCCCGTGCGCACACCCATTTAGAACCGGGGTTTTAAGAGCATTGTTAGAACCCCAGTTTTAAGAGGGTGCGCCTAGGGCGTGGGTTGTTATCCCAAGGCCGTAGGATCCATACTGACATCCGTGATAGGTCATGAAACGGTTAGACCGCATTATGATCGATGAATGTCACGTCGTGTTAAACGAGCAGCGCGATTTCCGGCCCATAATGTAGTAGCTCGGGCGTTTAATGATCGCACGGACCCAGATCGTTTTGTTGACGGCGACATTGCCGCCTAGCTTGGAGGACCGATTGTGGCGGCGGATACGGTGGTCGCGAGAGTAGGTCAGCGTTTTCCGAGGCCGGACCAGCCGGACCAACGTGGCATACCGGATCTAGCGGCCCATGGTCGAGGATGGATTCGAGGGGCCCCATCGATGGATCCAGATAGACCGCGTGGCGTCGTTCATCTAGGACCGCATCCGACAATCTAGGGGTGGGCGGACGATTGTATACGCGCACATCGTGGAGCATATGACGATAATGGCCGACATGCTTGGGTGTGAGGCGTATTACCATCAGCAGCTTAACAAGGCTAGGGTGTTAGAACGATTCCGCCGCCAGCCCTAGGGCGTGATTGTGGCCACCCGTGCATTAGGGATGGGGGTAGATATCCCAGACATTCGCAGCATCATACATTTAGGGCGGCCGCGGACATTGCTTGATTACGCACAGGAGAGCGGGCGTACGGGTCGGGATGGGTAGGCCAGTGAAGCGATTATCATCCAGCCTAAGGGGATGGATACACCACCCCCATGGATGCAGGAGACGCCGTCGGCGGAGCAGTAGCGCGTAGATGCGTATATGGCCGACGGTCGATATCGACGGGTGATTTTGGATAGGTATTTGGATAGTATGATCGATAGATACTAGCGAAAGCATTGTGGGGATCAGCAGCGTGGAATCATTGCCCGTGAGGCAGCGTGCGATGCATGCGAGCCCGATTGGCAGGCGATAGAAACCGACGGTGTTAGTGATAGAGATAGTGAGGATGCCCGCGTCCCGCTAGTCGCCGGGGTACACCATCATCCGGTTCCCAACGCGGTTCGGGTTCACAATCGGGGTAGCGTGGTTAGGGTTACCTATAGTGGGGATTTGGCCAGTCCGGGCATGATTGCCAGGCATTTGGCGGTTGAGGGCATCTAGCATACCCGGCAGGCCAGCGGGAGCCCCAGTCGCAGCAGGCGGGCCAGCAGCGTTGATTCCGAGAGCTTGCAGTCCTAGGCACCGCGAGCCAGCCCCAGCCCATCGAGGATGGCCCCCGCCACGGAAACCACACGTCTAGGGCCAGCCATTCCATTCAGTATCCGGCAACAGTTCCAGCAGCAGGAGATCGATCGAGCCCATATGTCGGAGTAGCGTCGGCGGGACCAGCAGCAGGAAGTGACCGATGAGGAGTTTTTAATACAGCAGGCGCGCGAGTAGCAGGACCGTTGTTGGATTTGTGCGCAGGAGGGTCGCGAGTCCGACCACGAGTTATATTTTTGCAAGGCGGAGAGCAGCCAGGATGCACGGAGTTAGATGCTCCAGGTACGGCACCAGGTTCGTTACACGGCGTTCACCAGTTGTTTCCGATGTGGGATGCCACAGACATTATGTTTTGGGTGGAAGCCAGACCGTGGGCCATATGCGCATCGTGGATTATTATATGCCATAGTTGGTATGATGTTGTTTGGTAGACCGAAGCGGGGGTATATCCAACAATTATAGGCGCAGCGGTTAGGCGATCAGGGGGTGGATGCACAGGATGAGAAGCAGGTTGTTCAATTTTTAGGGCAGCGTAGTGAGGATAGCGGGCGGGGTAGGCATACTGAGTTAGTGAGTGTGTTCATATGGTTACGGCGGATATATAGTAGCATAGGGAGGTAGGTAGTTTAGTTTATATGATTTTATGAATTTTTTAGGTATTTTGATTTTAGTATAGTAGATATAGTAGATATATTAGGGTTTTAGGGCTTAGGGCTTAGGGTTTAGGGCTTAGGGTTTTA